CTTCCACAGGAATCGGCCAGGTATGGCACATATTTACATTGCTCTAAGTTGGACCAATGCAACTGTATAAAAATTTCTATTATGTATTTGAACTGATCAGTAGATTTTTTAACACCAGATAACTCAGGAACATTTTAAACCTGCTTTTCAGTCTTGAATGACAAGAACTATTTGCACTTCAACTGTCATTTTGCCATGTAAGGCACAGATCAATGACACACAACATATGCCTTTAATAAACAAGTAGAGGGATTTTCTGTTCATTCACACAATTAAAAGTAATTTCAAAAAATATACATAGATTTTGTTAAAAATAGATTTCTCACTTTTTATTAAAAGATTGCATGTGATCTGCATTTGGTAGCAGCTGAAATGTGTTCATTCTCAGTAACATGCTTTTAATGTCAGCATTTCTCAAGAACATTATAGAAGGAAATCAGCCTTGTGGCTGGGGCAGATAAGAACCTCGGCTGTCTTGTGGCATTCATGGAATTTTTGGAAAGGGGAAGTGATTCTGTACTTGTACAAACCTTTGATCTGTACATTTTCATGGGCTACTGAGAAATTCCACTGTTTTCAGGCCTTTCCTGACTCCTATAAGAGTGAAGACAATCTAAAAACAAGCTGAAAATGTGGTTTTACAAACTAGGAAAACTATATAAAAGTAGGTTACATACACAGCAATGACGTTAAGCACATCCATCTTGTGAAACATGAAGATAGTTGTAATTACTGCGATGCAAACAAGCTCCCCTTTATCCACAGAATGGATCACGTTTATGGAATTTCCTCACATAGGAAGTGGTGATGGGCGATACAGAAAGGGAATGTTAAAGGCCTAATTGAGAGTTATAGGAATGTTAGAAAAATTCTTACTTTGCCATAGAGCTATATGACCCATTACAGCATCACTTAGCTACTTGTACAGGCCTATTATCTATGCTTAAGGTATTGACAAAATTCTTAGCCTAGCTAATTGTAGACCTCATATGTGAAACCTGTTTACACTGGAGAAAAGAAGTTGTTTTTAAAGTAGCCACTGTTTTTCTATAGCTGGTAACAACAAGTGTAGGTGATTTAAAAGAATGGCATCTGTTTAACCCCTTGACGCCAACCGTACGGCTGGGCCTTGACGCCGAGCGTCAGCATATTTGCGTACCATTTGAAAACACATATGGTAGTATGCGCGTGCCCTGTGCGCTCCCAGCACATATGTTGGTGTCTCATGGAAAGGTCTCCCCTTGCGATCGGGACCTTTTCCGATCATGTGACTGCTGTGACAGCGAATCACGGCGGTCACATGACCCGTCGTCTGCAACCCCATAAAGGGCCGGGAGATGCCGGCATGAAGAAGTTAAAGGCCTCTATAATTAAAACGCAAGTTAAGGGAATTAAAATGGTTTTAGTCAGTTTTTTGTACTTTGTTGTAACACCCTGCTATTATATAGGCATATAAATACAGAAGACCGGGGAGAGGACGTGAGCTAGGAGAGCTGGAAGGTGGGTGAGAGGAGAAGGTTGTGCGGAACCCTAGAGGACCGGACCACACCCTAGAGTGAGAGAGCGGAGAAAAGGGGAGAAATTGCTGATCGCTTACATCGCCAACGATTCCGGAGAACTATCTTGTTGAGATCCTAGAGTGCGGCTGTCAGAAGTGATCTCTGCAAGAATTCTGGGGCACCCAGTTTTACTGATATTGTTCTCAAGTTGCATGCATTGAGACCTAGTTCACCCGGCATATTAGCAAATACACCTTCAACATAACCCAATCACAAGAGCTTACTTTAGTTTCCGCCCTCCAAGCCACATCATTGCTTCCCTTGCATTTGTCCCACATTCATCAAGGAACCCCCTTTATTGTTGCCATTTGCTACAGTGGCCTAAAGAGGAATCAACCCCTACAACAAAATCCTCTGCCCACTCCTTAAACCTCCTGCTTAACATCTACGTCTCATACGATGTGTTAAAGGGGCAGTGCCTGTTTTTTGCAATAACCCTTTGAAGAACTGCTGATCTCAACATAAGCAAAATATCAGTTCACTTTTAACTGTGTGTGAGTCTATTTTCTGGTAACAGTCAGAGGGTTTCCTTGTCTAGAAGCTTATGGTGGTGTCAGCAGGGGTTAGGCCTCCAGAGTGGGGTCAAGAACGACAGGGAGCCTGAAAATTTACTCAGTGACCCTTTGGGGGGTAGTGCTACATTGTTTTTTCGGGTTTATTTTTAACTGTTTTTTTTTTTTTAAAAAACATTTTTATTATTCATAAAAATCGTTGTTTTACAAATTTTACAAAAGAGCATTTTGGGTTTCCTAAAGTAAGAACAGCAGGAGCTGTTTCCTTTGATACTGATCAGGAGCCTTCAGAAAAGACCAGGAGGGAGGAGAATCAGTCACTGCTCTAACTAGACCTGGAGGGAGGGAATAGAACAGAAGGGAAAGGAAAGGATGGGAAGAGGAGTCAATGCTCTAACTAGGATGGAAGCCATCTTAATAGAACAGTGAGGATGAGGAGTCACTGCTTGTATTTTTTTTTGAAGCCTTCTGTCAGGATGGCTTCAGGAGAAGAGCAGTGTGTGCACCAATATGCAGAACAGGAATCTTTGCTGGCAGGTTATGTTGGCACTGTCATTTGTGCAAAAATGCGCATGAGCGTGTTGCGTGAACTGCACATGCATGCACGCCTGGCGCCATACTTTGAGCCTGAATATAGACTTTTTAAAGGAGAGTGCTGAAACAGACGGTTGATGGATGATATTCAGCTGTTCCCTGTGTCCTGAATCCTGTTTATTCCTTATTTCCCATTGCTGACATAACTTGTCTTTGAATTCTTCTCTGTTCTGACCTCCTATTGTTACCTGGCTTAATTCTGACCTTGGCTTATCTGTCTACTACTTGTTGCTGACATCAGTGTGCCTTTTGACCAAGATTCTAATGTCTAACCATTTCTGACCTCAGCTTGCCTCCTGACCACATTCCTGCTGTCTGATTGTTGCTGACCTCGCCTTGCCTCCTTAACACAATGCTGTTGTTTATCCATTGCCTACTTCTGCTGCCTTCTAGTCTGTCATCTACCATGCTCCTCATACTGTACCTCCAGTTTATCATAGGTGCAAATGCCTCTGTCAGCTGCTTGTTCCAGTTTGCTTCTCTTTGGCTTCACTCATCTCTCTAATGGTCTCCTCAGCCATCTGCAAGAGTGCTTCTCTGCCAAATTACCTGCCAGAAGTGGTCACCTATGGACTGAACTTTTGGCAGCCATGCCACTTTGTGCCTTTTCAGCCCCTGTCACGATTTCTAAGGTCTATTGAACCAGAGCTGTAAGGGATGCCCTTTCATTACTTTGGCCACTAACCAGGCATGTAATACCCTCTATATACAACAGAAGCAAGGGGAAGGCATTTCTATTTTCTAGAGCCCTCTAAATAGATTGAGAGGGAGAAGGAGAGGGGGTGAAGAGCCTTGCTCTGACTCATTTACTTCAGTGTCGAAATTTCAGCTTAATTCAGACCTTCACTCAAAAAATTTGTTGCATTCTAATCTTCTACCCTCCACTTTATTTCAAAAAGTTGACTTTATAATTTTTTCTTGCATTTACCATTTTTATATTTTTGTTCTCTCTGGATCTACCCCTGCCACCATTCCTGCTTAGGTTAGAATGATATTTCAGGCTCCTTCTTCTGCTGCTTGGGATACTAACATCAGACACTGAAGTGCTTCCTCCATCAACCTACACTTTAAGGGAGTGTTTAGACCTTGCCACATTCCTATTGGTCCATTGTCATGATGGGTGTCTTCATCAGCCATTAAAGATGTGCAGGAGGCAGGAGGTGGACAAGGTTTGGCGCTCTTAGGGCTCATGCACACAGGCGTAAAAATGGTTTATTTCAGATTCATAACATAGGCCCCAACTGTCCCTGATGTGGAGAGTACCCTTTTTTGGTACCAAGACAATATGTCCCTCTTTCCCCCTCATTGGTCCCTCGTTTTAGTCTGATGTACATACCACTTTTAAAAATGCACTTTTTATCTTTCAAAAAGTGTTTTGCAGTGCTAAACTTTTTATCCGATTTCTAAATTGTTGAATTTGTAGATTTTAAAAGCATAAGGCAAAAGGCTATAGTAATGGTAAAAAAACACTTGTGGGTTTAACCGATCATTTTTTGTGTATTAATTCCCTGTTTAAAGGGGGTGTGTCCTTGACCTATATACTTTTTGCTAATAAGTTTCCCTCTTTCCCATCTAAGTTAGTTGGGAGGTATGCACAGAGTGTATAGTTTTTTTACTCATGCTATGTTTAGCTGCTCAAAATCAAAATAGAAAAATTTGCGTCCATGAACAGTTTTTCTGTGTAATATATTATATAAATAATAAACATTATTTCATATAGCGCCTTCTTAAAGTGCTTTTCAAAGGCAAGCAAAACAAAAACACAACAAATACACAGGATAAAACAAAGGAAAAAAGGGACAAATACATGAAAGCTTGTCAAAACTGTTTTTAGATTTGATTTGAATGAGTTTAGAGAAGATAACTCTCTGATGTTACTTAGATGTGAATTCCAGAGTTTTGGGGCATAGCAGGAGCAGACTCCCATTGAGTGTAGATGAGTATGGGGGAAACACAAAGGAACAGAATTTGTGGAGCAGAGGTTACAAGGGGGGGAGTAAGCTGATAAAAGTTCAGACAGATAATGGGGTGCCAAGACATGAAAAGCTTTATAAGTGAGAAAGAGGATGTTAAAGTATATGCGAAACCTGACCGATAGTTAATGCAAGGACTCCAGAATAGGGGTTATATGGTTACTTGTATCAAACCTAGTAAGGATTCTAGCTGCAGAATTTTGTACATATTGTAGTCAAATAATAGTGGATTTAGATACACATATATACATGTACATCCATGTAAACACATGTACAAGGGCGGACTGACAACTCATGGGGCTCCTGGGCAATAGGGGATCATGGGGCCCCTACGTCCTTGCCCAAAAGAGCCTATGAAAAAGGTACCAGGGGCATCTCATGGGGCCCCCTACTGACCCCGGGCCCTCGGGCAGTGCCAGAGTTTCCAAATGGTCAGTCCGCCCCTACACATGTACATGTGTTCATGGTCAAATTGAAATCTGTGCTAGAAGAATTTTACAGATGTAAGCGTTTTCCAGAAGTTTATGCTTCTAATACGTGTAAAGAGAATCACTTTGCATACCATTAAATGCATTTTTCTTACACGGGATCTTTGTGCCAGCAAGATCCTGTGTAGATATCAGAATTTTGTTGTGCCCAAGTGCAGGCGCCTGTAAAAAGTGATGAAAAACCTGACATTTAGCCATAACAGCAGGGTAATAGAGGCTCCTGCCAATATCTACATGCACCTCGACCTGCAGCAGTTTTTTATTTTACTTTGTTCTAATGACAGGTTCTCTTTACCTCAACAAATGGCTGCCATTACTTTGTGTAAGCAGGAGGAGCTTTGACCACATTTGGAGTGTAAGGAGTCATGATTTGTACATCTCTCCTTTACCATATTGAGAATCCATTCTGAAACTGAGTAGACAGCAGTTCCCACTGTGCAGGAGGGCACAGGCCCTATTAAATCTATGTAATTCATGTCTAGACCAGTATCTGTGTCTTCTATGACTGTGTAAATATTTCTCCTCTTTGCATTTTGTAGGCTAGATTTATAACCAGAGAGAAATTCCTCGGCTATTCTTCAAGGAAAGTTTATCAAATACGTTACAAGAATCTCCCAGTCTGATAAATCAACTGCAAGGAATAATTCCAGACATAGAAAACATTCCTACTTCAGGTCTGCATTTTCTTTCACCACGTTTAAAACTATTCTGATGAATAGGATACACTAGAAAGCCATGGACCTGCACTTTTGTAGTTTATTGGCAGATTCATAGTGTGTTCTGCATTCTATGGCTGCGAGTTTCATGGAACCATATAGGTGTTTTTTAATTAAATGTACTTATAATGCCGCGCTCCTACTATAAATACTTAATCATGTATTGTATATCACTCATAAAAATCAATAAAATGAATAAACTAATAATTAAAAAATTAAATAAAAATCAATTAATTAATTATTGTGATAAGTAAATGAAAATCAAACCATTATTGTGCTAAAGCATGCCATTAGTGCTCAAACAATATTATCAATGCCATATTAAATATTCTAATGTAATAATAAATAAATAAAAAATCTTATATATATTTGTGCAAATGTGCATGAAAGAATGAATAAATAAAAAGTCTTATATATCTTTGTGCAACTGTGCAATGTGCAGGTGAACTCCTTAATCCCTCTTTTCAGGTGCCGTGTAGTCTCAATATGCGCTCACCTTAATATTTGCCCAAATAAATTTAGGCAAATAGACTTTTAGTCCTTCCAGGACTGGTGGGATAATGCTCCTCTATGCAGTATTCCAGATGGATGTGAAGGCCTGCTCAGATCCTCCTATAATCTCCTCTCAGTTCATCCAGTTAGCCTCTCATAGATAGACATTTGAAAAGGGTATGAGTGTCTCCTATTTCCCCTCCTGGGGACACCTCCTTCTAATATCCACCTTTCCTCAGTATTGGATATATAAATCAGATGGAGAAAAAAAGACCATGGTGCCTTATCCTTTTAAGTAAGAGTATTTATTGCTACCAGATGCGGTGATACAGGCATTTGAGGCACTTATCTTATGCAGATATGCAGAGCTTGTGATTCCCTCTGCCTCTCTGTCTGCCTCTGCTAGAATCGCCGAGCCTCTCCGATGCAAGGTCGTGATGTCAGAGCCCCTCCCCTACGCGTTGCGTCACAGGGTCACGTGACTTCATCAGGGGGAAATTGATCAGCACCAGAAAGTGGGGCCATGTGTACACATACAGTAAACCCACAGTGCAGGGTCCAGCATCTACATGATTGTGTCATCTATAGGCCAACACTGTAGTCGAGGAAACTGATGCAGGTCCTGAATGATGCTTTAACCACTGGTATACAGTGGGACCATCACAGGGCCATGCACGTATGCAGGAAATATCCCGTGATAGTGCTGCAAGATTGTTTTGTAGATGCACTGTGTGCACGGTGCTTTCTCTTTTGCCCAAAGGAGTGACACAGACATTCTGAAACCTTAAAGTTAAACTGCTGCCTACAGAAGGCTTGGACCTTGGTAAATAAAAAAAAAAAAAAAACTGTAGTCCATCTCTGGTCCTTCTACCAATACAGTGGGGGGCAAAAAAGTATTTAGTCAGCCACCAATTGTGCAAGTTCTCCCACTTAAAACAAAGAGAGAGGCCTGTAATTGGCATCACAGGTAGACCTCAACTATGAGAGACAAAATGAGAAAAAAAAATCCAGACAATCACATTGGCTGATTTGGAAAGAATTTATTTGCAAATTATGATGGAAAATAAGTATTTTGTCAATATCAAAAATTCATCTCAATACTTTGTTATCCTTTGTTGGCTAGGTCCCCCGTGTGGTCCTGGGATTTTTGCTCACCGTTTTTGTGATCATTTTGACCCCACGGGGTGAGATCTTGCGTGGAGCCCCAGATCGAGGTAGAATATCAGTGGTCTTGTATGTCTTCCATTTTCTAATTATTGCTCCCACAGTTGATTTGTTCACACCAAGCTGCTTGCCTATTGCATATTCAGTCTTCCCAGCCTGGTGCAGGTCTACAATTTTGTTTCTGGTGTCCTTCAACAGCTCTTTGGTCTTCACCATAGTGGAGTTTGGAGTGTGACTGTTTGAGGTTGTGGACAGGTGTCTTTTATACTGATATCAAGTTCAAACAGGTGCCATTGATACAGGTAATGAGTGCAGGACAGAGGAGTCTCTTAAAGAAAAAGGTACAGGTCTGTGAGAGCCAGGAATCTTGCTTGTTTGTAGGTGACCAAATACTTATTTTCCACCATAATTTGCAAATAAATTCTTTCCAAATCAGCCAATGTGATTGTCTGGATTTTTTTTTTCTCATTTTGTCTCTCATAGTTGAGGTCTACCTATGATGCCAATTACAGGCCTCTCTCATCTTTTTAAGTGGGAGAACTTGCACAATTGGTGGCTGACTAAATACTTTTTTTCCCCACTGTATACTGTTTGAGACTATTGCATGCAATTTGCAATAGCAAATCTTTGTTACTTGATATAATTGTTAATGAATAAACCATACTTTTGTAGAAGATACTGATTCAGAAATAGTTCCATTATTTTATTTAAATCTGCATTGATTTGCATTGCTTTGATTTTTAGTTTGTGGAAGCTATTTTAGGACTGACCAGCCTGTACAGGTTGTGGCCTGGGATTGCAGAATATGGTGTGTCATGATGTCCTGCTTGTTTGCCTCTAGAATCCAGATGGGATGGGATAGAGAGAGGTCTAAGTCAAGCTGGACAGTATGGACTGTGAACCTCCAGTCCAAGAGATCGCTCCCCACCTCCCAACATGAGTATGATAGGGGCTCCATGCAAGATCTCACCCCGTGGAGTCAAAATGATCACAAGAACGGGGAGCAAAAATCCCAGGACCACACGGGGGGACCTAGTGAATGACCTGCAGAGAGCTGGGACCAACATAACAAAGGCTACCATCAGTAACACACTACACCGCCAGGGACTCAGATCCTGCAGGTTCAGATGTGTCCCCCTGCATAAGCCAGTACATGTCCGGGCCCATCTGAAGTTTGCTAGAGAGCATTTGGATGATCCAGAAGAGGATTGAGAGAATGTCATATGGTCAGATGAAACCAAAATAGAACTCTATGGTAGAAACACAACTCGTCATGTTTGGAGAAGAGAGAATCCTGAGTTGCATCCAAAGAACACCATACCTACTGTGAAGCATGGGGGTGGCAACATCATGCTTTGGGGCTGTTTCTCCGCAAAGGGACCAGGACAACTGATCCATGTACAGGACAGAATGAATGGGGCCATGTATCGTGAGATTTTGAGTGCAAACCTCCTTTCATCAGCAAGGGCATTGAAGATGAAACGTGGCTGGGTCTTTCAACATGACAATGATCCCAAACATACCGCCCAGGCAACGAAGGAGTGGTTTCGTAAGAAGCATTTCAAGGTCCTGGAGTGGCCTAGCCAGTCTCCAGATCTCAACCCCATAGAAAACCTTTGGAGGGAGTTTAAAGTCCGTGTTGTCCAGCGCAGCCCCAAAACATCACTGCTCTAGAGGAGATCTGCATGGAGGAATGGGCCAACATACCAGCAACAGTGTGTGCCAACCTTGTGAAGACTTACAGGAAACGTTTGATCTCTGTCATTGCCAACAAAGGATATATAACAAAGTATTGAGATGAACTTTTGATATTGACCAAACACTTATTTTCCACCATAATTTGCAAATAAATTCTTTCCAAATCAGCCAATGTGATTGTCTGGATTTTTTTTCTCATTTTGTCTCTCATAGTTGAGGTCTACCTATGATGCCAATTACAGGCCTCTCTCATCTTTTTAAGTGGGAGAACTTGCACAATTGGTGGCTGACTAAATACTTTTTTTGCCCCACTGTATATAGTATTGTGACGTTAACCAGTATTTAAAATTTGAGATTTACATATTTAGGCCAAAACCAAAGATTCTGGTTGAAAGGTAGAGCTGTCAAATGTAAGAAATAAGAGAGACAATACATATGTTTATCAGGATATAGGATACTATATATGTTCTGTCTGCTCACTTCCTTTTTAGTAATGTACACCAGTATTCTTTTGTTACCAGTATTGTGGTATTGGCCATATAAAGCATCTCTAGGTGGTTAACAGAAATCTGAATAATAATGGTTCACTTTACTGCAGTATCAATCAATAGGCCTGAAGAGGTTCAATGCACTGGCACCCTCTACTGTTCAACACAGGAAGAGCAACCAATTAAATTCTAGGACAATGGTGACCAATTCCCAAAGGACTTGCTTGGTATTATTTCTATTTTCACCATGCAACATGTAAATAGAAAAGGATTTTCCTACACTTTATGCGTGATGTTCTTTGAAATGCAATGCGCTTTTATTAGTAACATTGAAATCACTTGAACTTGGGATCATCACCAGCATTAGATGAACCAACAGACAACTCCAACTTTATTATTATTATACAGGATTTATATAGTGCCAACGGTTTGCTCAGCGCTTTACATTATAGTGGGAGACAATACAGTAACAATACAGTTCAATACAAGAGGGAATTGAGGGCCCTGTTCCTTGGAGCTTACAATCTAGGA